CCTAACTCCTAATCTGAGCTTAGCTGAAATTCACATATAATCTATTTTAGTCATATATAAAAACTGTGGTTGTTTTAGTTTATTGATGTTACAGATTGAAATTTTATGGATTGTGTTTCTACTAACAGAAGTTTTTAATACATTTATCATTCAAATCTTACAGAAAGTGTAAGATGAAATTGCAAATCAAAACTGTAGTAATGTCATTTCTAGTATTTGTTCATGTATTTACCATTCTAGAACCCTTTTTGTTATCATATGCCTTTGAGCTTATTGTCTATCATGCTTTTATTTGAAGGATTCTTGTTAGCATTTCTTATAGGACAGCCGTACTAGTTTTTGTTTATGTGGAGATAGTTTAAGACCAGTTTCTTCAGATACAGTGTTGTTGTTGTTGATGTTGATGTTGTTGTTGTTTTAAAGACAGATCTATGGGGCTGGAGAGATGGCTCAGTGACTAAGAGCACTGATTACTCTTTCAGAGGTCCTGAGTTCAATTCCCAGCAACCACATGGTGGCTCACAACCATCTGTAATGGGATCAAATGCACTCTTCTGGTGTGTCTGAAGACAGCTACAGTGTACTCATATAAATAAAATAAATAAATCTTAGGAAAAAAAAGATAGATCTAACTTAGTAACTCTTGCTGGTCTGGAACTTGCTTGGAACACACAGAGATCTGCCTGCTTCTGCTTCTGCTTCCAGAGTGCTATGTTTACAAGTGTGTCTGCCATGCCTGCAGGTACAGAATTCTTCCTTGACAGTTTGTCTTTTCAGTAGTTTAAATGTGTCTTTCTTCCTGCCTCCTTCAGTGAGGACTGCACCTGCCTCAGGCATATGTCTTAGGGTCTGTAGGGTCTGTACTAGTGAGCTCCAGTGCCTGCCCTTAGATGGTTTTCTAACCTTGCCTTGTAGCTCTATGTCCTTTTTACAGGTTCAAAAAGTATTCCATCATCATTAAGGATGACTGATACTTACACTCAAAGCCTGTATCTTCCATCATGTGTGTTTTGCCATCCTAACTCAAGATAGTGACGATATTAGTATTCACATATGAGAATAAGATGTGGCCTCTGTCAGAAAGACACTTTGGTAGCAGGCTGGATTAGAATCTTGCTCTTTTTCTTACTCTAAGACTCAGGCATCTCACTGAAGATTATTTAATGAGAATAGAATGCTTCTCTTTACTTGTAATAGAAATTAGTAGTTAAGTTCTTAGTATTAACATTTTAAGTTTAGATGGCACCTAAAGAAGTTTTATAAGAAATACTAAGACTGAAACAATAACGACAGCAACAACAACAACAACAAAATACAGTGTTGTGAGTCTTTACAAGCTTTCTAGTTTCTAATGGTTTTTAGTTTTAGAAAATGATGGATGCTATGTTCATAAAAATGACAACTATGTATCTGGAAGGATATGGAAGGTGATTTAATCCTGTCTGTGATGCTATTGGCATTGCATCAAAGCCAAGACAGATGGTTCTCTCTATCCTCCCTATAAACTGGGCCTGGAAAAATAGAAGTAAATTGTGGACTCAGGTTTTTTTGACTTGACTGCCCGTGCATTTGACTACCTCATGTTTAATTTCTGCAGTCGTCCACCACGTGCCTCTGGAAAACTAGCCTTGAGCCTTACTTTCCTTGATGGGTCCAGTATAAGGGACACAGAATCAAAACAGTCAGCCTTTTAAATGCCAGGGTATTCTATCCCTTCCTCTCTCTGTAGCATTGGTACTGTGGCTTTCTCAGGATGTGCACATGTGCAAATGAATAGGGCAGAGAGGTGATTAAGGTAAATAAAGGGTGATTAAGACAATTTCTTTCCCCTTTTCTGGAAATTACTTCTTTATTATCCATATAATATATTGTAGGCTGCTTGAGAAGCTGAATATATCACCTTTAATTGTGGTACAGAGACTTGAGTAGTTTTAAGTATGTTAAACAGAATGCTTTGGGGGCTGAGGAGATGGCTGATCGGGTAGTAATGCTTGTCAAGCAAGTGTGTATGGATGAGGCCTTAATAGCCAGCACTATTGTAAAGTTTGGGGAAGTATGGTAGTCTATCTGTAATCTCAGTAGAGAGACAGAGACAGAGTACCTCCTGAGCAAACTGCTAGGTAGACTAGCCAAATCTTCAAACGCTAGGTGCAAGTGAGACACCTGGCCTCATATTCTCATATATATACACACATATGCACATATATGTATATATATACACACACGTATGTATGTATGTATGTATGTATGTATGTATGTATGTATATGGTGGAGAGTGATCAAGGAAGGCCCCAGACATCTACCTTAGGCTCCTATACACAAAACACACACATGTCCTCCTGCTTATCTACATAGGAACATATATATACACATGCATAAAAGTTCACATAGGCCAAGCAGTGGTGGCACACGCCTTTAATCCCAGCACTTGGGAGGCAGAGGCAGGTGGATTTCTGAGTTCGAGGCCAGCCTGGTCTACAGAGTGAGTTTCAGGCCAGCCAGGGCTACACAGAGAAACCCTGTCTTGAAAAACAAAAACAAAAAAAAAAAGTTTACATAGAAATACACATACATTTTTAATGTTCTGTATTGATTATTTATACATTACCTTTAGAAAAAATATTTTTTAAAGAAAAAAAGAATGTAAGAAATACAGCCAGTCAATTTTTCATGTGTCCAAATGTATGTTTAAATGTTTTTAATTGCCTGAAAACAATAGTGTAGTTAGAAGTTAAGAGCTATTTTAAAGTAACTAATTAGCAATTTGGTGTTTCTGATATTATAATCTAAATTAATTTTATATATTGGCCAGTATTATGTTATGGTACTTAGTTTTGTTCATATTGTCAAAGAAATTATTAAAGGGACCAAAGTTTTCCTTAGGTTAACAAAACATAAATTAGAAGTTAAGTTTTATTGATTTCTGAGCTAAGAAATGATTTCTAACGGTTCTCATATTTTATTTAGTGAAGAATGATCTTCAACATATGTTCAGAGATATTTCTATTGTTCCTTCCCCCAAATGCCATAAATTATAAGCAGTAGCTTGTACTCTGCAAGCATCCTCTACTTTGCTCAAGCAGAGACTGCTTGCTACTAAGAGCCCCGGATCTTAGTGATCTCTCTTTTTCACCAAGTGAGCTTCCTTTGCTCTGCCATTCTTCTGTCTGGATTACTTTAATTCAGCCCACTGCCTTCGTACAGCTCTGTTCTCCTGTGTGCACATTCTGTCTTCTGAACAAGCACTGTGAGTAACAGGAGCTAACAGCAGAGCAGAGAGGCTTGAGCAGACACTGTCAGTAATAAGAGTTAAAAGAGCAACAGAAAGAATTTAAATGATGGACATTCATGTCTCCAGCGACGCTTTCTGATACATTATAATGTTTTCTACCTTTGCTATCTACTGTCTGAAATGGTGCTGAAGCAGTATGGACCTTGTGTGGAATGTCTCTGAGGATTTGGGGGCATGGAGCTGGGGAGAAGATTTGGACGGCGCTAGATTTTCTTGTGACTTATCCCTAACATACTGCAGCAGAACTGAAAACACTCATCTGCTCACATAAGGATGAAAAAAAAAAACATTTCGAAGATTGAGCTAGCAGAATTTGTGTTATATTTTCAGATGTTTTTTCCTCTTGTGATTTTCTGGTTTTCATTTTCACATAATTTGATAAGGGTTGGGGTTAGGGATGGAAGGAAGGCTGGATCAGTGATTTGAATGGTAAAGGGACTGTTTAAAATCTCCATGTCATCGTGATCCAAATCGCAACGCATCTGACAACCTCTCAGTGAGTTCCTTGGCCATTTCAGGTGTTTAAAAGTAACAGTGTACAAATAGCTTTACTGTGTGCCTTTCTCCTCCGTACAAATCCTCAGATCGTTGTATCTACAGACCCAGAACGTTGATTTGGTGCTGTACTTCAGAGTCTCACTTTAATAAGATGGGATATGCAAATAAGGCATGCAGTTTCTTCCTTACATATTTAATATAATTTTCTCACTTTATAATACAGCTAAATGGAATCTGGGCTTACATTTGGGTTCTGTTAGATACTGAGTTATGTTAGTTACTTGAGACATAGTAATGATCCTGTAAGCAGAAACTGTCATACTAGGCTAGAAGGCTTCTTAAATGCTTTCTTCCCCTCTCCATATTGCCACCTTCTCCCTACTCCTATGTATTGCTGAAGAAGTCTGTGGATTTTTTTTTTTACCTCACATTTTATAGAAAATAAAAGAGCAGTATATGTTAATGGTTTTAGTAAACATGGGAAGTTAAATTTGTTCTAGGAAGAGAAATAGCTTTATTTTGTAATTTAAATCTTAAAGGTTTGTTTTTTTTTTTAAAGATACATTCGTATGGCTCCAGTTTTCTTAAAGAACATAGGAAATTAGGATGCTATTTTAAAGGAGAGCCTTATGTGTTTGAGTTGAGAGAAGGACATCACACCTCTCTGGACTGTTCTTAAACATAGTGTGCACGATTTTGTATACTGACCTATTGGGTTTCACAGGTAGTCTCCCAAAGGACCCTTTTGGGATAAATGTGTTATTTCATAGAGTATACTACCTGTATTAACAATCTTTTACATTTTTCTATGTTGTTGCACTCTAAAATTGATGTTCACTGATATTTAAGGAAAATTAACACACAAATGGCTCTCTTTCTTAATATTGTTCACTGTTTCTATCAGCCATTCTTATTTAATAGGGCAGTGATAGTTAAGGGTTAAACTTACAGAGCTGATGCAACTCCTCCTTTTCCTCACCAGCAGTTTTTATTGGATGGTATCACCATAGCAACAGTGAGATCAGTGAAACCCGAGTGTTCCATTGATTAGTTTTTGCTCCTTCCTTTTTTAATCTATCCTCCTTTCACCACATTTTAGTGAGGAAGCAATTTTTTCTTTACAAACAGAGCTTATATTGATTTCTAGCCCATAAATAATTTAAAGGGGGTAGAAAATTCTGCCCTTCATTTAAAAATTGAATGTTTCAACATGTATTTAAAAAGCGATTCAGGATTAGGAGGATGGATAGCCATACCAGCTGTAGCTGATGTTCTCAGATACTCTTGCATTGTTTGCTGGTCTTCTAGGGAAAAGAACAATGTGGAGCAGGACCTTAAAGAGAAGGAAGACACAGTTAAGCAGAGGACAAGTGAGGTTCAGGTAAGTGGGCTGTAGAATGTACTGCTCCGATTCTCATGGAGGAATTTTCAAGCTAAATGTATTTACTATTTGATGGGCATGATATTGGGTCTAGGGAATACCTAATATTTGTTTGACATAAATCTTTTTAAAAAAATGATGGTTGTTGCTCTGAATTCTGGCCTTTAAATATAATACTGCAATGAGAAAGCAGTGTTTTTAGGCACATATTTCTAAATTTGAAAATATTTTAATGATATTTATATGCTTATTCATTAAAGATAACTTTGAATGACTTGATTTAAATATTATTATACCAATAAAATTAAATTGGATCATCAAAAACCAAATTGCTTTTTGATGCATGTAAGATTTTTGTCAGCTGGGAGACCTACTGTTTTCAAAGACTGTTTCTCATGTCACTGGGAGGGTGGAAATGATAGAGACTTAAAATAACATCTTATGAAATGCTTTGTAGCCAAAATGTTGGAAACTTTGTCATAAAGAGATTTAATTCATTTTTGCTGTGTTGCATTAGTATTTTTATTTTATAAATAGAGGAGATTTTTTTAAAAACCTGGTTTTATTTGATAAATGTGACAGTGTTTTAAACATTAAAAACAGTATTCAGCAGTGTTTCATGTGGCCATGTTACTGGGTTGTGTTTCCTGAGGGCTGTATGGGGGTTGGATGTGCGGGCCCTGGTAGCAAGTTGCCAGCAAGAGCTCATGGATGGGCATTCCCTAATGTGTCACTTATGTGTTAGGTCTCTCTACATGTACTAATGGTGTTAAATGGGCAGATACTGGGATTTCTTAGACCCATCCTTTCGTTTGCTAGAGGAAAACCATGCTAGACTGGGGGAAGATGATTCACTGGAGGCTTGAGGAAGCCAGAGAGGCTTGTGGTTGGGAGTTGACTCTGACTGGATGACTGCGTTTATTATATGTATTGGAATTTTCCTAAGAGTGGTGTGAAAGTCAGGAGATTTATTACCAGCATTTCTCTTCCTGCTAATGAGATTGGGTGTAGGCTGGTAAGCTGCTTGAATTTCATTGTTTTGTGTAATTTTAAGCTTCTTGAGAAATGCAAACACTAGAACTTAATTTTAGTAGTTATTGCTGAATACAGCTTTGGAAAAGAGGACAAAAATCTACAAAAGTTGGTTTTTTTCTCAATATAATCACTGGTATAATCATAAACAACTTCTAGATTTAACCAACTGCTGTTCTAAAATATACAGGTTCTTTTAATAGACAATATCTTGTTATTTGAGTACATTTATAGGGAAAAACAAACAGAATGGAAATTTAAATAGCCAGTTTAGGAGAGGGCTAAAATTAATATTGTTCTTGAATATACTCAAATATTTGGTTTCTTATAATTATATAAATTTTATTGCTAAATTTCTCTTTTTTTGCTAAAATTTCTTCATAATGTACTTGCACATCTTGATTAATGGTGTTAGTAAAGTAACATTAAGCTTTGTGAGATCCATAATGTATGTTTGGCACATGAGTTCTGAACTGGTTTTTACATAGGGTACTTCTAAGTATGAGGCATTTAGGAGCTTGCTTAGTGTGGAACAAGCACTGCTGGCTGCAAATAAATCCACTGAAAATTAACATTGAGGTTAAGGAAAGTTCTGGGTTAGTAGAGTCATCTCTGTATTATCAATGGTAATGAGATGCTAGACCAAGAATGATGATATACATCTATACATCCACACATGCATACATACATACAATCACTTGGAATATATTCTATCTATCTATCTATCTATCTATCTATCTATCTATCTATCTATCTGCCTACCTATCGTCTATCATCTATCTATCTATCTATCTATCTATCTATCTATCACCTATATATTCAACCAAAACAACTCATTTTGTGATCATTTCCTGTTTTCTGAAGCACAAAAAGAAAAATTGATAAGATGTGGAGTTGATTACCTACTGAAGTAGCTCTGATTTACTATTTAGTAACAAGGTCAAGAGTAGGAGTAACCTGTAATTCCAATTTTCAGTCCTTTATTTTTCTAAACAGGGTTTCATGTAACTGGCATTAAACTCATGTAGTTGAGGGTGACCCAGGCCTCCTGATCCTCTTACTTCCACCTCCCAAGTTTAGAGATTACAAAAACCCTCCACCATAGCCTGATCTCAATATTGCTTTTCTGATTTTTCTCTAAAAGGCCATTTACTCAAGCTGTTATTAAATAGCAGCATCTAAGAAAGTGTACTTCACTACTTCTTTCTGACTCCACTGTCTAATGGAGATGCTAATAAGAAATGAAGCTTAGCCTATCATTGAGGATCCTACCTTGTCTCTTTTGAATGTTGTTGTTTCTCTAGTTAATAAAATACGTAATTATAATACAAATTCATATCTCAAGCATAGGAAAAAGATTTTAAATCCAAGAGCATTAAAATTTACTTTATTTTATGAGTGTTCTGCCTGCTCATATGTATGTGCACCATGTGCACACCTGGTGTCTGCAGAGGATGGGGTGGTGGTGGTGGTATCTGGTCCCTGGAACAAGTTATGGGCAGTTATGAACCGCCATGTGGGTGCAAAGAAATGAGCCTAGGTCCTCTGCAAGAATAGTAAGTGCTCTTAACAGGCAAGCTATGTTTCCAACCCCACCTGGAGTTTTTTGGTTGGTCTTAGTTTTGTTTTTGTTTTGGTGTTGAAGATTGACCCCAAGGCCTTGTGCATATTAAGCACATGTTCCCTCACAGAGCTACACTCCGGTCAAGTTTTTGGTTTTGTATTTATATATGCTCTCTACTTTAAAGTAAAATACTGACTTTCTTTTTTTTTCATTTTTTATTATTTTATTTACATTTCAAATGTTACCCCCTTCCCAGCTTCCCCTCCACAAGTCCTGTATCCCCTCTTCCCTCCCCTGCCTCTATGAGGGTGCTTCCCTACCTGTCCACCCATCCTGCCTCAATGTCCTAGCATTTCCCTATCCTTAGTCATCAAGCCTCCACAGGACCAAGGGGTTCTCCTCCCAGTGATGCCAGATACTGCAGTCCTCTGCTACATATCCAGCTGGAGTCATTGGTACCCCCTGTACTTGGTACTCTGGGAGCTTTGGGGGGTCTGGTTGGTTGATGTTGTTCTTCCTATGAAGTTGAAAACCCCTTTAGCTCATACAGTCCTTGCCCTAACTTCCCCATTGGGGTCCCCGAGCTCAATCCAATGTTTGGCTGTGTATATTTGCATCTGTATTGGTACAGCTCTGGCATAGCCTCTCAGGAGACAGCTATATGGGGCTCTTGTCAGTAAGCACTTCTTGGCATCAGCAATAGTGTCTGGGTTTGATGTCAGCAGATGGGATGGAAGCTGAACAACTATTTACTCAATGATAACTTGGTCAGGGAAGAAATAAAGAAATTAAAAACTTTTTAGAATTTAATGAAAATGGAGATACAACATACCCAAACTTATGGGACATAATGAAATCAGTGCTAAGAGGAAAACTCATAGCTCTGAGTGCTTCCATAAAGAAACTGGAGAGAGCATACACTAGCAGCTTAACAGCACATCTGAAAGCTCTAGAACAAAAAGAAGCAAATACACCCAAGAGGAGTAGACGGCAGGAAATCAAACTCAGGACTGAAATCAACCAAATAGAAACAAAAAGAACTATACAAAGAATCAACAAAACCAGGAGCTTGTTCTTTGAGAAGTCAACAAGATAGATAAACCCTTAGCCAGTCTAACCAGAGGGCACAGAGACAGTATCCAAATTAACAAAATCAGACATGAAAATGGAGACATAACAACAGAAACTGAGGAAATTCAAAAAATTATTAGCTCCTACTACAAAAGCCTATACTCAACAAAACTGAAAAATCTAGATGAAATGGATGATTTTCTAGATAAGAATACTGATTTTCTAAGTTTTTGTTTCTTGTGTGGTCTGTGAGTTCTTGAAACATTTTCTTTCTTCTCCCTGCTCCCAGTCACCCTGATACTGATGACTGCTTGCAGTTAAGATCTCTTCTCTCTGAGTGCCAGTTGTACATTTCCATTTAACCATCCTAGTGTTTATCATTTGAAACTCAGTCAGTCTAAAACAGGTTTTGTTGGAAAAGAAATGGCTTCAAGTTTGAACTTCTTATTTCTGTTAGTACTTTTCTTTTGTATTACTGACTTATCTCAAATATATATTTGAGATGTCTTAGGGGGTAACAGTGCTAGCTGTGCAAGCATAAAGACCCAAGCTAGAATCCCCAGTACCCACATAAAAATCCAGGCATTACTATACATGCTTATAACCACAGTATAGAAAGTAGAGGTAGGATCACTGGGATTTGCTGGCCACCAGTCTAACTCCAAGTTGAGTAAGAGACCGTCTGAAAGGATTAAGATGGAGAGTGATCTAGTTAGACATCTGAAGCCTTTTCTGACTTTTACAGATCTGTATGGCACAAGAAAGCACACACATACATGTGTACATCTTCCATCTTATATATATGAGTTTCTTGAGCTTAGAAATTCTGCTTTGGATCATATATGTCTTCCATTGTATTTGGAAATACAGTGTTAGATATTTAAGGAAAGTGTTCAAATTAAAAATAAACAGACTGAACTTATACAAGAAATTAAAAGTAGGGCAGAATATACCCAGAACCCACTGGCAGGGAGGATTAAAAGCATAATAGGTTTTTATAAAGTCCCACTTTAGTAACTTGACACAAAAGAAAGCTTCTGGATATTTGTATTTCATTAGTTACAAGTCAGTAACTAATGAATGATGAGATGGCTCAGCAGGTAAAGTTAATTGCTGCCAAGCCTGAGTTCACCCTCCTAGACCCACAAAGATCCTTAGTTGACTCCTTCAGGTTTTCCTCTGACCTCTATTACACATGCCATGCCATGTGTACATCCACATCCACAAAATAAAAAAATGTAATAAAACAAAAGATTAGTATCTCAGGCTAGGAGATGACTCAGTAGTTAAGAGCACTTGCTACTCTAAGAGAGGACATAGATTCAGTTCCCAG